AAAATGCTTTGTGCCATGTTGTTTCCCAGGTCACTACCTAGAGTTTGGGGGGGCGGTTCTTTTTCGTATTTGCGTCCCACATGCCTGACATGTAGTAAATGCTGAATAAGTGCTTTGGGCTTGATCGATTCCTCCCTCTCCCCGCTTCTCCTTCTTATAAATTATGTTCCATAATTTCAGCTCTATGTTCCTGGTTTGGAATTTGGAACAGGAGGTGATAATGCCTAGGAAGCAGCTTAGTGGTCTGGGTCCAAGCAACAAAAAGTGAATGTTGATCAGGCAGGAGGTATCCAGGGTCCAGGGTGGGAGGCTTGAGTTCTGAGGGGTGATTGGAGTCCACACCGTGACCTTGCCTGGAGGTGGATGCCTCACGCAGCACCTGCACACCCCAGCATTTGTCGAGGGCTCCGACTGTTGTTTTCCTTTACGTTGCTGTAGCCCTCCATGGGTACTCCTCGATTCCTTCGCGTCAGTCGATACAGATCTTCCTGACTGTTTCTTAGTTACTTATTTTGATCATTTCTTTTCTTTTGAAATTGAGTCGTGCCCTGGCTGGAAGGCAGTGGCCACTCACAGGCCTGATGCCAAGTGACATTTCTAGGGTGATTTCACTCTTTTGTGTAAGTTAGATCAATTCACAGCATCTTAAACAAAAAATACAACACTTAATATTGCTGTCAATCTTATCTGTGTTTAAGAAAATATAACCAGAATTAAGCTAGTCTTGAGTTTCCTTAAGAAAGGAAAATTAAGCAAACACTCTGCCCTCTACTGTTTTTTATTTTTCTCTGAAAAATTCTCTGTCCTACCATGGGCTCCTAGAAATTCTCTGTAAGACTTTCCCAATAATAGCTGATCCTTTATTTCACATGCTCCTCTTCATGGCCTCTGGGGCTCCTCAGTAGCTTCCTTCCTTCCTTTCTTCCTTCCTTCCTTCCTTTTTAAGTTCTTTGTCTCTCTCTATATATATCTCTGTCTCTTTTTCTCTCATCATACTGTTGCAGAAGGGTGTTTCATGCAGAGTAGTGTTATTTAAAAAAAAACAAGCACTATACTTTGCACATTGTAAAGCTGAGAGCATGATCTATCAAATAGATGTGCACCTTTTTTTTTTTGTCTAGGCAGTGGGGTTAAGTGACTTGCCCAGGGTCACACAGCTAGCAAGTGTTATGTATCTGAGGCCGGATTTGAACTCAGGTCCGCCTGAATCCAAGGCCATTGCTCTATCCACTGTGCCACCTAGCTGCACCCTAGATGTGCACTTTTGCTATCAGAATGAGTATCTCAGTAGCCTCTCACAGATGCTGTTAAGAAAGAAGCTTCTTTTAGTTTTTAAAATGTTCCTCTCTTAGGTAGGATTTGCTTCACTGCTTCAAAAGATGAAGGTGAGTATTTCTTCCATGTACATAGATCACAATTCATTCATGACTGGTAGATGATTCCATGAATTATTATGTCAAAGATATTTTATCACCTAATAGCAAGTCTTGTGGTGACGATCCTTCCAGAGTTTAGCCAGGCTGTCCCTCTGTGGGTCACTGGGCCCTTTCCATTTCACTCGGTTGGACCTGTTATGGCTTGAAGTCCCTTGGCAGAGCCTTGAGAACCCAGGGTCACTCCTCCTGATGAGACCTCAGAGTAGGACTCTGGTCAAGCTTAGCAGCCATCTTGGTTATTGCCGTCAGCTTAGATGACCCACGTAAAAAGTCGTGCATTCGTGGCAAATTAAACATTGATCTCTCCTCATTCTTATTCTCTGCATCCATTAGAATAAATGTCATATAAAATTCTAAATATGTTAATGGAAAGAACATAGCCTTATCTGAATTAACCCCTGTATATCCCCTGTAAATTACATCAAGGTTTCCTTGTCTTTTCTTTTTTTTTATCATCGGGGCATTTAGATCAGATCTACTTTATATGGGTTCTTGTAAATCCACATTGACTAGACTTCATTCAATTATGACTTGACTTCCGGTTGTTTCTCTGTTACGTCACTCAAATCTGTATTTTTCCAGTTCCTTTTTCAGTCATGGTCATCAAACATAAGTTCTGTTTTTCCCTCCCTGTGTACTCCAGATGCCTTATTTAATACACATGATAGATTTCCCCTGGCTTCCCAAACTAGGAAGATGCCTGTTTTGCTCTGGGCTTCTGCTTCTTTTCAGGGACTCTAATTTTGTAATTACTTGTCTTGTCATGAATCTGATTTCCTCCAGTATTTCATCTTTCTCCCAGGAGAAATCCATTTGGCATTTATCCCTCATCCTGCTTTGTAAATATTGCAGCAAAGGATTCATCTGATTTTTGTTCAGCCGTCCTCTCTTTTCTGTCCGTAATTTGACTGCTCCATCTCTTCATCGAGGACCTCATGCCTCCACTGACTTGCCCACTTCTCATGTGCCTTTCAGTGAGAATTCCTGATTTAAAGAGCCTTCTGTTCTAGCCTCTCGCTATTTTTAGTTCCCATGTTATCAGAGACAGCTTTGTTCTTTTACTTCTCAGACTTTTCTGGGTGTCAGTGCTGGACCATAAGTGCCTCTTAGAAAGGTTCTGTCCAGGCTTCTGCACAATTGAGTTTGTGGCTAAAGCAGGCCTTTGTCTTGCTTCATACATGGAAGAGAAATACTCAGGATTACTAGACCTTTCAGATGTTAGAATGCAGTAGGCCACAATGAGAACACCGATGCTATGGAATAATACCCCTTTGGTAGATTTCCTGTGTGTTGGTGAGGAAGGGACATCCTGTTTCTATGTATGTAGGGACATGGTTTGCCTTAAAGTATAATAGAGTCAGTCATACTGTATAGAATCAGTAAACAAACATTTATTAAGCATGTATAAGAAATTGCAGTAGGCACCTTTGGGGATACAGAACATAAAAGGCATGGTCCCTGCACTCAGCAAGAATTGTAAGGTACACATACACAGATGGAAAAAAGGAACATTTCACGGTGGTGTGTGTCATAGAATAACTAAAGGGGTGAATGGGACGTCAAAGACCGCCTCGTTCAGCCAGACCTAAATAGGTGTCCTCTCTATAGCATCTCCAAGAAGTGATCATCTATTCAGTGACAGGGAGCACACTACTCACTAAACTTTGGGGTGAAGAAAACCCTTTCTTTGAGCTGACCCTGTCCCTCTCTCCCCGCCCTGTGGCTCCTAGTTCTGCTGTCTAGGAGCCAAGCAGAACACAAGCCAGCCCTTCACAGAATTGTCCCCTCCTGCCCACTGAGTCCTCGTTTCTCTGGACTGAGCGTCCTTGGTTCTTTCTGATAATCTTCCATCATCAGTCCTTCCATCCTGGTCAACCTCCTTTTGGATACGCTGCTGCTGCTGCTTAGCAACGCCACTTGCTGAAACACAGCCACCTAGAGACAAAGAACTGAAAACAATGCGTGCCCATTTAGGTAATTACCGAACAAACTGTGACATTTGGATGCAGCAAATTCTTGTGCTGTCCAAAATGAAGACTGTCAGAAATTCAGAGAAACCCTGGAAGACTTCAGAACTGATGGGGAATGAAGCAGAGAGGAGCAGGAGACTCGGTGTGCTGTAGCTAAGCCGTGGAGCTGAAAGCAGTGCTGGAAGGCGGCTGACTCAGGGACTAGGATGATGGCACTGGACTGCTTTGGGGTCGCCACCTGTGCTTCCGCCTCACTCATTTTCTTGGTTACTTTGCTTCCCTTTGTCTCTTTGTTACAAGGCAGAATGTGATGGTGTGAGTGGTAGAGAGGGAGCCTACCCTGGAATTTTTTACTGTGGTATAAAAAACAAAAACCATCAATGGCAGCTTGGTTTTTTTAATGAAAAGAAAATATGGCACCCAGCACTAAATACTGTGCTCCAAAGCACTGTATCTGACCGTGGCAAGACGGGCACTTCCCTCTTTCTGGCACATAGTAGGTGCTTTGTCAAATTGAATTAAATTCTGGACACTATGTCTCTTAATTCAGTCTTAGATTTTGTGGTTGTCATGGTCCCCTGCCGACTTACGGGGACCTTGTAGATCAATGAGGTGGCCATCAAGATGTCATTGCTCCTAGGATGGCAGTGCAGTGATGCACCAGCTATTGCAAAGCATCTGTTAAGGGAGTTGGTGCCAACAGCTGCAGAGTCCTCGAGGACATCGGAGAAGGAGAGAAGGGAGTGTTCCAGGGTGGCAGGGACGAGGGAAGGTCTTCACAGCGAGGAGAAGGTTTGAGCTAGGCTTTGGAGAAAGACTGGGACCCTGCCAGGTGGGGAAGAGGGGCAGAGCGAGCCAGGGAGGGGCGTAAACAAGTGCCAGGCTGAAAGGAGAACGTCCAGGGGCCTTTTCTGAATAAGATTCCCCTCGAGGTAAGATGTTAAGAAGCAGCACATTGCACCATCTGTGCCCAAAATCGGTTTTAAAGGAAGCAAGTGAAGAAGTAGCTGTTGAGTACCCCAAATCCAAATGTCCTATATCTAAGTGTCAGGCGGCGGGCAGGGACCTCTGAGGCCGTCTGGTTCAAGCCAGCCCTGACATCCAGGCTCTGTGTGAATCACGTGTAGAGAGTGGGAGCCCGCTGCTTCCTGAGGCAGCACATTCCACTTGGGGGCAGCTCGGCCAGAATGTAAGCTCCCCGAGGGCGGGAGCTCTCTCAAATGTGTATTTTTATCCCTAGCACTTAGTACAGTGCTTGGCACAGAGTAATTGCTTGATAAATGTTTTTTCATCCATTCATCCATCCACCAAACTTAACCTTTTCTCTCCGCTTCTTCCATCCGTCCCTACTACCTTTGTATGTATCCCTTTGAGATACAAGTAGGAAATGTCTGATCCATCTTTCCTACAAACGCCCTTCAGATACCTGGAGAGAGCTATGAAGTCTCCTGTTAATAGATCTTTGATGCTTTGCAGAGCTCTGATTAGGAATGACTGACTGGATTAATGATGGAGATCTGCACCTCATTTCATTTCCTCAGGTTTGTGGGATATTAGGGCATCTTAACATGTGCGTCTTTCTTCTTGTTTCCAGCACGCCCTGCTGGCATTGAAGTTTGTCCTGGCCTTTGTCATCCCCGATAAGCCACAAGAGATCCAGGTGAAACTGGCCAAGTTGGAATTTGAGTCTGTAGAAGCCCTCAAACAACAGGTAAGAGAAACTCCTGGGGAAGAAAAGAAATACTGCTGAGAGCCAGCCACGCCCTCCGCCTTTGCTTCAGGCCTATCTTCTGCCAGTCTGAAGAAATACAAATAGTCCCGGCACAGGCCCACTTCCCCTCTCATATAACGCCAAGGAGTAAGCCAAATCCTGCATTTGTCAGACTAGTCTGTATGTGAACCCTTTCATGTCTGTTTCTATAATTCTTTCATATTCACTTTCATATTCCTTTATTTCTGTATTTCTTTAGCAAGATACATGGTATTTGTTTGCTCTGACAAACCACGGCATTCTATAAAATTATGACCAGTTCAAGAAGGTAGGAACAACAAAAATCAGAGGATGGAAAGTATGGGGTGTGCAGGAAGTGTCGCTGGTGCTGGGCCACCGATTCAGTTAGTTGTACAGGTATGCTGGGGGGCCTGGCTGCCATCGTGCACTGGCTTTTTGAGGCGTTTCATTGAGAAAAGAAAACTTGACTGAGAAATCTTAGTGATTCTTTCCTTACTTGGTATCACGTGTTTGTTTTCCAAAGAGCAGCAGCCGTCATCTGTTCAGCGTGTTGGGTACGCTCGGGGTTCCGGTACAGGCCCAGTTCTGGGTCTGGGCCGCGCCCTGGGGTGGAAGGGATTTGTGCCAGGATGCCTCCAAGGGGATGCTCTTGGGGGACTGTGGTGTATTGGTTTAGTCACCCAATCTGATGTAAACACATCTGTTTCCTAAGATGAGGTCCATCTCTAGTAGAGACGTGAAAAATCACACCAAGTTCCTGGAGCCTTACCTCCGGCCCCAGGAAGAGGATCCTCTACTCCTCATCTTCAGCTGGGCAGCTACTTTTTTAGCACCAGAGGACAAGCATGGGGTCAAGCAGAGTGACATAGAGCCCAGAGGTGGCCCAAGGTCAAGGAATAGGGCCAGGCATCCATGACAGGTGAGTTTGGAGAACTTCTCAGGGACAGAGTGAGAGTTCTGATGCCTCCTTCCTCCTTCCCCTCTGCTTGCCCCGAAGAACTTGGGGATTGGCCACTCCATAGGCCGGGGGCACTGTGATCTCCCCCAGCATCGTCTGCGGCAAGAAGCAGTGTCTTCACACAACGCCCTATGAGGCAGTGCAGAAGTCCTCGCAGAGGGACCCATAATGCTTGTCTTGACTAACTCGTGCTCTAGGCAGGTGTTAGAGACAGCTCCCCTTCCATTGAAAGTTGGCTTGTGGCAACAGGAAGGAATCTAGGCAGCCTGAGATTGCACAGTGTGCTCTCGCCCCTTGTCTTCCATCTCATATTGAGCTTCCTGAATGGCAGGCCAGCTGAGCATTGAGCTGCTAGGCTCCCATCTCTGCCACAGTAATCGTGGGCTGACTGTGTGCCTCAGCCACGGACCCCAGGGCAGAAGAAAGGCACTGAAAGTAAAGTGAAGACCAGATCTAGTTAACTGCGGCTTCCACTTCCTGCGAATGACCAAGGACTGACTTTTGTTGCGATCACTCAGCTAAGGACAGGGAGGGATGCAGTCTGTCAGGGAAGGAGATGGGACCTAGCCAGAGGGAACTGTTAAAGACAGCACAAAGCAAGCGCCAGGTGATGCCAGAAGGAAGAGGCCACCGCTGGCGGTGAGAATGGGGTAGAGAAGGAGAAGAGAGAGGAGAGTTATGAGAGTGGGGTCCTTGAAGTGAAGAGAGAAGAGAGTGCTCAGGGACCCTTGGAGCTCAGTCAGCAGGGCCAGAATCTGCAGGCAGAGAAAAGGGATGCAGGCTGACGAAAGGCCCCCACATGTGACCCTGGTGAGCGAAGGGAGCGAGGCGGGGCCGAGTGGGCTACAAGGGTCAGGGGAAGGCCTGAGCACCTTGTGGACAGATGGGAAAGCTGGATGAGAGGGCATGGCTACTGTAGCAGGACCCTGGAGGGGTCAAAAGGCGGTGGGGTCAGTGTGAAGGGTTAACCCAGGGAGTAGAGGAAAGGGAGAATGGGGGGAAGGAAGGAAGGAAAGAGGGAGGAAGGAAGACCGGCCAGAGCACTTATTAGGCTTTTGCTATGGGCCAGGCACTGTTGGGATGCATTTCTCCAGTGCAGACATCCCCTGCCTTCAGGGAGCTGATGTTCCAAAAGGGTTACAACAGATATCCCCAGGAGCCTGGCTGAGAGGCAGGGAGAAGCTTCGTGTCAGGTTTAGGAGAAAAGGTTATAGTCAGAGAGCAGCATTTCAGGGCTCAGATCTTGGAGGAGGAGGCGCCCTCTGAGACATCATGAGACCAGAGCAGGTTGTGCCTGAAGGGTGATGACCCTCTTAGAAGGATGTGTCACCAAAGTTCCTCCCATTAGGCTACAGCTGCTTCCTCTTAGCTTGATTCATATCTGAGTCACACCCCACTCCATGCAGGTGCAGCCCAGGGCCATTCAGTGACGTCACTCTGGGCTCCTGTGAGCCGCCCTACCTTATTTTAAGGTCCTTTCAAAAACTAGACATCCTGAACTTTTAAGTGGTCTCTACCCGGTGGAGTCTCCATTACTGCCCAGTACTGACCACTTGACAAAGAGGAAGGGGAAAGACCAGGCTGATCTCTGTTCATCACCAGCCTGTTTTCCCTTGGGTCCTCCTTGATTCCTGCTAAGTCTTTCTCAGTTTCAGTATTTTCTATTCTAAGTCCCCCTGGGATGGAGTGATGTTTTATGGAGCTCGGTTTTTCTCTTTTCCTTTTTAAATATCATATCTGCCATGATATTAGTTTCTTTGACATGGGCTGGCAAATGAGGTGAATTTTTAAAGAAGAAAGCGTCGGATAAGAGAATTGTTTATTTTTTAAAGGGCATTTTCAAATGCTCTGAAGCATTCACTCATGGTGACCTTTAGGACTCAACCCTGGACAGTAAATACTTTCTTGATGATGCTTTTTCTCATTTTTAAATTGATTTCAACACTCTTAACCAGGAGCATTGCAGCATAATATGGTCTTTCTGTCCAGATCCTATCTGATGGTATGGAGCACAAACTCAGAAGTGCCCCATTGTACTGACCTCTAGCAGCCAGAGTTGGGGTGAACTTGGCTGCCACAAACAAGAACATGTCATGGAAAGAGCCCTGGATCAGGAGTCCAAAGACCAGGACAGTCTGAGCAGTCACATCACCTTGGGGAAGTCTTATGCCCCCTCTGAGTACAGTGCCTTCAGCTGGGAAATCAGGGTGACTGTCTGTGCCCAGGGACCTGCCAAATCCGCTGGTCTGGAGCTGTCAGACAAGGTCTACACAGCTTCAGAAGTCACTTTGAAATGATACTTATAATCACGAAGGGCCTGAAATCATGGCTGGGGAAGCAATGGCCAGCAGGCTGGTGTCCCCGGCAAGCCTAAGCTCGGTCATCTGGGGACACCAGAGCCAACCTGGAGCTCTTTCTTTCTCCTTTGTTGTCAGAGCTGTAGGAGCCCGAGTCTGGGACTTTGAGGAAAGCCATCTTCTAGTCAAGGTTTATTCTGCCCAGAGAGTCCGAAGGCTGCCTGAAGCAGATGTTTTTATCTGTGTGTCTTTAAATGGAATGACATTCACCAAATGTAAAAGTGATTACACATGGGAACCTGGCACTTTGGAGTTCACAAAACCCTTTCTTCCAGACCACCCTGAGAGGTGCCCAGGGCCAACAGGATTTCGCTCTTTCAAAGATCCCTGCTTACCTTGGCCAGGCCTCCCTCCAGCAGCCCAGATCCTGAAGCCTTTACAGCCTAGGGAGGCTGGGACCAAAACACTCATCACTGTGTGGCTTACCTGGTGATGAACCTCTCTGATCTCAGCAGGCCTGGTCCTCTGGGACAGACACACAAGCCCCTACTAGCTCTACATTGGAAGGAATGAACAAACGAATGAATGAAGCATTTATTAAGAGCTCCCAATGTGCCAGGCACCGAGCTAAGCTCCAGAGAGAGGAACAGAAAAGCCAGAGCCCACAGGTTCTCACAGAGCAGGTGGAGAAGCTCCTGACGTGGTCCTGACAGGGCAGTGGCAAAGCGGTTAGTTATACAGTGCTTCTGATGGCTTTTCCCTTGATAAAACTATCTCCAGTTGAACATTGGTGGTGCCAAGAATTCTGAAGACATTTTTATTAAGTCTTTAGAACTCAATGAAGTAGTGTAAATGTTATTATTGTCATATTATAGAGGAGGAAGTGGAGACTCAGAGAGGGTTTCTGGCCCAAAGTCACCCAGGCAGTGCATGTCTGAGGTGGGATTTGAACCCACAGCCTCAGCCCCCAGAGCCAGAGCTCTTTCTGTTCAGCCCCACTCTCTCCTATATAGTCCTAAAGCTCCTAAGTCTGCTAGCCCTTAACAGCTAATTGTGCAGTGCTACTCTCTCAATGCCCTGGGGCTTTTAGATGGCTCCTCTAGCTTCTGTTTTTAGATGATTCATTGTTTGTCTCAGATTTCTGAAATGCACAGCTTTCAGCCTTTGAAATTTAGGGGGAATTTGTACTTTCCCCTACATTGTAGCCTGCATTTTGTCCAGTGCTTTAACGCCAACAAACCATTTCTTGACAATAATCCTAGAGGTTAGCAGTGCAGATATTGTGCCCATTTTACAGATGAGGAAGCTGAGACTTAAGAAAAGGGAAGTGAATTATCCAGGGCCACTCTTTTAGGAAGCATTGGAACCAGGATTAGAACTCAGGCTTCTCTGGACTTTATGGCCAGTTCTCTTTCTGCCATGCTGAGCTGCTCTCCTGCAAGAGTTTTATTGCTATAAGTTGACTGTGTTTAGCTTAAGTCCTGGGAGACAACTTGGATGGTGTATTTTTTGTGATGGTGTTTCAGAATGTTTAGATTCATATACTTTATTGCTGCCTTTTGTTTTCATGCCACATTCATTCTACATACATCCGTCCATCCTCCTTTATCCACTAAGTCCTGCCTTAGAACAGGAAAGGAAGGAAGCAGGGAAAGAAGGAAGGAAGGAAGAAAGAAAGGAAGAGAGAGAGGGAGGGGGGGAGGAAGGAAGGAAGGAAGGAAGGA